CCCTCCTCAGCTTGTAGAAAAGCTGTTTGTGATGAGCTTTGGTTCATCATGTGACTTTCTCATCACCACCAGTTTTTGGTGGTTATCAGTGCATTACAATGGTTCAAAACAGATATTAGTACTTCAATATGTTGGTTTATTAACATTACATCAGTTAATGAAATACTGTATTTTATTGTGAATTTTAATTAAGTCTGTAAAACCTAAAATGTTGCTACCATATTTTTTACGGTGAAGTTCTGGCAACCACAGCTGCCGGTATTTTACCATAAATGTCACCGTTTTTTTTTTTTTTACAGTGTACCGTCTGCCTTGAGGGATCTCAGAAGGGGAGATGCCCTTGAAAAAAAATGACATAGTATAAACCAAATACCAGATATACAGTCTGAGTCCACACTGAGAATCTGGGATTCAAAATTTAAACCTGGAAATAAACAAATGTACAACAAAGAAATATTATGAGGTAAAATCAATATGAGGACTGCTGTCATTATAGCAATAATGTAAGAAATTCTATGTTTATTTATAAATAATTTATTTATTGTGAAATATTATTAAAATTTTGAATAAGTGTTTTCTATCGGAATATATTTTAAAATATGATTTATTCCTGTGATGGCAAAGCAGAATTTTCAGCAGCCATTACGCCAGTCTTCAGTGTCACATGATTCTTCAGATCAGCATCATTCTAATATGCTGATTTGTTGCTCAAATTATTATCAATGTTGAAAACAGTTCTGCTGATTAATATTTTTGTGGAAACAGTGATACACTACTGTTAAAAACAAAAATGAAATTAATACTTTTATTCATCAAGGACATATTAAATTGATCAAAAGTTAAAGACATTTATAATATTACAAAAGATTTTTATTTCAAATAAATGCTACTCTTTTGAACTTTCTATTCATCAAAGAATCCTGATTTTTTTTATCATGGTTTCCACAAAAATAGTGTGCAGCAAAAACTGTTTACAAAATTGATAATAAATTGATAATAAAAAGAATAATGAATAATAATTGGTCATCAGTTGAGCAACAAATTAGTATAGTACAATAATTTCTGAAGGATCGTGTAACACTGAAGACTGGAGTAATGGCCGGTGAAAATTCAGGAAAAAATCATTTCAATTTTAAAATGAGATCAATAAGAAAAAAATTTTAATTAATATTTTTCAATTCAAATTTATATTATGCTGATAATATAAAACTAAAAAAAAGATAATAGAAGCATTTTTATAATAATAGTAATAGAAGCGAGTGGATTTTTGAACTGTAACTGCAAACTTGAACTGCAACCTTTTTTTTGACCGAGTACATTTGCATGTTTATTGGCTCTATTTTTACATGAACCAGGTCTGTGATATTAGCAGACAGGTTTGTGCATGATGCGCAGACACAATGTTTTTCTCTAATTTGTTTACTTTTTTTTTGTCCCCTGTTTTTGCCTGGCAGATATAACTCCACAGAAGTGTCTGAGCTGTCGGTTTCTGCCCTCTGTTAGGACACCTAATTGGTCGCTATGTGCTATTGGGTTTTTTCTTTTGCTGACAGGTCTACAGTTCCACTAAGGGGGAAAACAGAAGGGGATTTTGCACAATTAACTGTTTTTCACACCCGACACCCCCATTTTTTTCTTTTACACTTTTCAAATGATTTATCAGGGTTTTATCTTATAAGCTTTTAGAACTCTTAATAAATTATTCGTTATTCTGTGAAACAAACAAACAAACAAACAAATGAATGAATGAATGTTAAGGGCATTTCTAAATTGCTTGTTTTTACAAACAAAAATACAATTCAAATTTGTGCTGTCAATAGATCTTAAAGTTATAGCGTTAAGTACATAACTTAAAATTATAATTCCTATACAAGATAATTGATGACAGAATTATAAAATTTGGGGGAACAAATTGTATTTTACACAGGAATATTACTTTAACTCTCTTTCTTAATGTCACCAATGTTGTTTTTCTCTTTCTCACAGTGTATGGTGATGTTCCGCACACTCTGTCTCAAGAGTCGGTCGCTCAGCAGACGCAGAGGATGATAGATATGAGAGTGAACCCCGTTCATGGATTCTCTAATAAGTGGGACTATGAAAAGAAACAGTGGAAATAAATGCATTCCGCCTTAATTATTAAAAATGTATCAGGATTGCATTAATGAGACGTTCCAAACTCAATAATGCTGTGCAACCAACAGCCTTAAAATATATGTGAATCTAAATAAATGCACTGAATTAAACTCTGAGCTGCTTCAGTATTTTGGCTTGGTACTGTTGTTACTGAGAACAAAGCAGTTGTGTTGGCACATTTAACCTGATACCTGACTACCGTGGAAGTGAATATGTGTTAACGTGATTGGCTGGGGCAGATAGTGCGAGAGAGTGTGTTATTGGCTGAGGTGTGTGAGTTAATCCAATCACTTTCCAACTGCGTAAAATGACTTTTTATGAGTGTGTGTCTGTGTAAAAGGGAAAGCATATCTTAGGTGCTCATTTACTCCACATTTTCCATAATTTTGAAAAGCTTTAGTACAGTTCACATAAATAGTTCTGTGTGTTTAAAACAGTTTTAGAAGAAAGAAGTCACACATTTGTCACTGCTTGAAATGTCATATCAGCTAAGTAGACACACTGCTCATTAGGTTCAGTGGTTAGTATAACCACTAACAAGTGAATTTAACATCAGTGATTTCAAGTAGTACTTTTGACCTTTCCTAAAAGCTTGAACCAAATTTTCAAATTGCTCATTTAACTGCTTCAGAAAGGCAATAGCATCATTTTTTATTTGAATGGAATTTAACTACTCAGAAATTATTATTCCCATAATTTGTATGACTATATATATATATATATATATATATCTTTGTATTCTTTGAATATTGCGTTCTTTTGAATACTTTGTATTCATCAATAAATCCTGAAAATTTTTTTTTATCACAGTTTACACAAAAATATTGAGCAGTAAAAAAAGATTTTATTTTATTATTAATAATTGGCCATCAGTAATAACTGATAATAACAGAAAAAAAGCAGCAAATCAGCATATTAGAAAAATCATGAAGAATCATGTGAGAATGAAGTCTGGAGTAATGGCTAATTTTTAATAATATGATTTATTTAATTAATTATATATTAATAATTATAGATAGATAGACAAGTTTGATATAATATTTTCATATCTATCTATCCATCTATCTATCTATCTATCTATGTATTATAGCCTACACACATTCAAAACCTGACGTTTGAACAAAATATATTGCGACGCACTTTGGTTCCCCTACTGGAAATTTATTTGTCAAAATGTGAGAACCATGTACTTCAAAAAACGCCTCAAATATGAGTCATGATGAGGGAATAATGAAAAAGAAGCTTTGACAAAGCTGAAAGGAATGAAAAGAAGTGCACTTCAAACACAAACTCAGACACCATAAACACTCTTCATCTGGAGAGTCCTAGTAGGCTACTACGCCAAAAGCAATGAATGGTGTGACGTAGAGGAAGTGCTGCCCCAGTAGAGCGAGTATCTTCAGTTGTAGCCTATAGTTTCAAAAGCGTTCTAGCGTCGCTTCAATGAATGCGCCCCCCTCGATGTCATTCGTTGGCGCTTAATTTCTGCACGATCCGTGCCGCGCTTTGGAAAAACTGCATCTTGCCAAAGAGCGTGGAAATCTACTTGTATATTTTACACAGCAAAGGTGCTTCTTCGTGCGCTGACTTGGTTGCTATTTTCTCTTCCGTCTTTCTGTGAGCTCGAATGTCAGTGGAATAATTAGAAATACAGCTTTTGCTTTAACTCTCTTCTTCGGTCTCCTAACGTCAACGACGTCGCCTCTCTTTTTTTCGCTCTTGGCTGGAGGTCCACTGGAATATAAACGCAGTGAGTTTGAGCGGTGAAGCGGCATTCCTCGCGCCGCGCTCGAGACGTGTGCGGATCTTGACCGCGCGCTGCAGCAACGGCCAATCCATCTATCTCCACACATCAGCGCGCGCTGGACGTGCAGGTTCGCGGACAGTTCTTGCTTTAAAGTTAACAAATAACGTTTTTGTGAGTCATAACCAATGAATGTGAAACTAAATAATACAATTTTCCATAAAAATGGTTTTTAATGAGAGAACTCACATCGACGCCATGTGAATGTGTCATTTTTCAGAGCTCTTCTCTGTGAGAGAACGTTTTGTCCGTTACGATGTACTTCGAATAACCGACTTTTTTCCTGCTCGCGCTCGTTTTATCGCGTTTAATAACGATGGCCACCGAAATTCGCTTTGACAATCGGAATATTGTGGAGAAATACATCAATCACAAACTTTCAAAGAAGGGATATGTGTGGAAATCTCAATCTTCTGGGGAGGATGATGACACCGCCAATAAAGGAATCGAGGGTTCCTCTCTAAACTCTGGCAGGAGGCTTCAGGCTCCCTCAGCCGGAGGGGGGAACAACTCTGAATGCCTGATAGCTCACCGGGTCACTCGTTCAGACCCTTATTCAAGGATCTACCGGGCGCTACGCGAGGCTGGAGACGAGATAGAAAGGCTATACCAGCGTGAATTTGAGGAGATGTCCCACCGCATGATATTCAGTCCCAATACAACGCAACGCAGCTTCTTAGCCGTGGCAGAAGAGCTCTTTAAAGACGGAGTGAACTGGGGGCGGATCATCGCTTTCTTTGAGTTTGGTGGGACCATGTGTGTGGAGAGCGTCAACCGGGAGATGGCGTCCCAGGTAGATAATATTGCACACTGGATGACAGACTACCTGAACGGGCCTCTGGAAAACTGGATCGAGGAAAATGGAGGCTGGGTAAGTTTATGGTCAAATGGTCGTGACCTTTGCCCAGTCGTTTATTACTTTTTCTTTGCAGCTGAAGCTTGAAATCATAATAACACAGTCTTGTTAAACACCGAAGACTCATGCAGTTTTGTTTACTATCATCTGCTAGTATGTAAACAAACTGTCATTACTTTCTGATTTCTGATGAGGCCACTTTGTATTGTTAAAAACTTCATTACATCCAAATGTTTTTGTGCCTTTGAGTCCAGGTCTTGTCACTGAGGCCTCTTAAATGCTGACAAACGTGGCAAATATAGACATAAAAACATTTTCTCTTGAAAAAAAGGGACACAAATATTGATTATTTATCTTGTAATGTACAGAATTTTTGTCCAATCTAGTATGAGAATTTCCTGCCTCTAATATAACCTGCAAGATGACTAGCAGGTACAGTAGCAATTCATGTTTACGGCTGTGACCTAGCTAAAGGCTATTAGATATTTAAAATATGTACCATTTAAACTTCCTGTTTTAGTAGGAAGTATGCCATCACTAGACAAAAAAAAATAAATTCGATTCATGGGGGCTTTATGGTGTGCAAGTTTGAGTAGTTAAACTTTAACAGTAGCCTATAAGACAACGCAATGAGTTCATCTCATTGTGTCTGCAGTGCTATTTAGTAGAATGGGATAGTTATTTGAGTTGGACTGGTTTGAATTTAGTCAGCTTGGTTTTTAACAGTTCAAACAAGGTGAAAGTGATAGTTCAATCAATATAAGCCACACCCCTCTTATGTCATGTAAAAAGTTTTTTTTTTTGTCAGAGTGAGGTAGACACACTTTTTCTCAAGGACATGTGACTTGTGCATGCTAGGCCATTATGAATTCTTAATGATTGTTTGGTAGTAAATAATTTCAGCACAGATGTAAAAATGTTATGGTCAAATAAAACACTGTAAGGTAGAGAGATGTTTTTATAAAAGATAGAGAAATATGTTTTCGCTGGAGGTATATATAACATTTTTAATTCTAATATGTTAATTTTAAGTATATTAATTGATATATATTTAAATATCTATATATATTAATATATATATTTTTATATTAATTATAATTATATATATTATATTCATAAATTGTATTAATTCATGCTGAGAGAATTGGCTTGCTCGTGAGAGTTATATATTACACCGAGTCTGTCATTAACAGCTTCTTTAAATGTAGGATTTGTTTTGAAGTATTTGACATTGATATATACTCGCACAGGGGATGCTTCCCGCTTGATTTCCTCTGTAGTTAATTATTTTAGGGGAATCTTTATTAAGTTACTGATAATGTCCCAATTGCTTACCATCAGAGCGCTGGTGCTGTTCAGGCCTGTTCATTTGCGTACGTCTGAAGAATGCATTTAAAAGCTCGCTGTGTGGAGATTTATAGGGCTTTCATCTCAAGAACAGAAGCATCAGTGGGGATGCAGCCAGTAAAAATACTACTATAAGCTGTACTTGAATGTAACCATGTTCAGTTATTCTGTATAAAGTTCAAGTGACTCAGGTAATGGAAGAAGAACTGTTCAGCCTTTGCTAAGCGTATCACAATTACGAAGTCAAGTGTTTTGTGGTTTTCATTTCCCGCATTAGAAGGGCTTCCCATTTGCCCTAAATTGGTCAGATGGCTTTACTTCTCTGCCAGAAAGAAATGTCCTCTCCACCCATAGTTAATCCTGACTTATTATCCTCCTTTTGAATGAATGTGATTCATTAATCCTTGGATAAAGCCTGTCTGTGGAGAATACATGATTCAGCGGTACTACAGCACTCTGTCTTATTATTATTTTTCCATGCCCCTTGCAGGGATACCCCGTTTACCCAGCATGTCTTTGAGACCATTGTCTTACTGTACTTCAGTCACTGTCACAAGTTAAAATGGACTTAAAGACTTTTAAAAACATGTTCTGTTCATGTAGATCACTGTTTCTCAACCCTGGTCCTGGGCGCCTTCCAGCACTGCACATTTTGTGTGTCTCCCTAATCTAACACACCTGATTCAACTCATTAGCTCATTAAAAGAAACTCCAGGACCTGAAATGGGTGTGTCAGATAAGGGAGACATACAAAATGTGCAGTGTTGGGGGGCGCCCAGGACCAGGGTTGAGAAACACTGATGTAGATGGTCTTTCGTTTATACAGTTATAGACTGTTGACAAGGGACATAATTAAATTGGCTCTTTCAGATTGCCAAATTAATGTACTTCTTCTAAATGACGGAAGTTAAACATGCCGTGCGTCATAAATTATGTAAAATAATTATTATTGCAGCTAAATAAGAAATGGCTTGCATGAGGCTGGAAACTGAATTAACAGTCTTGTGCTGCTTGGAAAGTTTTCCGTAATCCATTTTGGCCTCTCTTGTGACCCTTAACTAAAAATAGCCACCTGTAGAGGTGTTTTAGAGGTGAACGCAACAATAGACTCTCGGCTACTTTACCTGCCTTTATCCCTTTTCCACAAAACAAGAAAAGAACGTCCTATAGATGTTACTCAGATTTCATTCTGTATGGAAACACCTTTTCCAGAACTCTGGCAGCTTATTGAATGTTTGCACATACAATATCACACACTCTATAAGGTCTACATCATGTAATTTTCACAACTCACCCCTTTCAAAACTCTATTATAGAGTTTTTGTTTACAGAATTTTTTAGGAAAGACATTTCATCAGTTGAACAGTCGGTATGTTGTTAAATAACAGGACAATCCATTGAACACAGCTGTATTTCTGTCCCTCACAGCCTCATTTCCATTCCTGTCAAAAAGAAAATATGCACTACCCTGACTAAGGTCTACAGTGTATGCTGTTTGTCATGTACTGTAGAAAAATGCAAATATTTAAAACACACTTGTCATCTTTTTATATATGACATAAAAGAATGTTATAAGAATTTGTCGAGAATGTTGCATTAAAACAACTATTTGAAACTGTCTAATTGCTTGTTTAATGTGTTTAACAGAAGCTATATGAGTGTAATGTAGGTCCATTGCCTCCTTCCAAAATTTGACAGCATTGCACGTGGCAAAACAGAGCAGATGCTCAGACAGTTAGGACTTCTGGTTTGCAAAATGCTTAATGAGCTTTCTCATTACTGTGTAACCGCTTTGAGCTAGCTCATTTAGCATGCTCTTTTTTCACCCCCTCAACAAATTGATGTTTACTGTTATCTTAATTGCCATGTTAGTGTTGAGGTGTAGGTAAAGATGTAGCTCTGTTGGTTTGGTGAACTGAGATCAAGTGCAATGTGTCCCAATGCACAACATTCTTAATGATCTCCCACTTATTGTTGAGATTGAATAGAGCTATTAACAAAAAGTCAATCTGCAGTTTATGTAAGGTTCAGCATAAACCTTCATAGCTTATAGTCTTACTATCCTCGTGACTTCCGGAGGCAGCCTGGCATATGATGTGTATTGTTTAACTCCGGCCCCCATTCAGATAATGAAATCAGTCCGTGCATAAGTTTGTTTAGACAGACTACAATTGCGCAGGTGCTCACCCACACACACCACATACCTGCGGTTCATTACAGGTTTCTGGCTGTGTACAGTACACTGCTGATTCTCATGCCTTAGAGGCGTGTTTGACCCCACCTGGGTCTTATGTTAGTGGGTGTTGCGTTGTGGGGCGTTTTACAGTTGGAGCCAAAGAACTTCAAAAGCTCTAGCATCGTTCAGGTATTCATTTTTCCCCAACATGTGCCTCCTACAGCCCTTTCAAGTGACATTGTTTATGAAAGCGATATCAACACGAAAGACAGACTATGGGAAAAAAAACACCCAGTGAAGAGAAGAGAATAGAGTGTCTCTTTTTGACATACAGTGATAATGCCTTCAAACAAACCTTCTGTGTATTTTACCATTGCAGTGTACATCTGTGCCTGTGAAGGTGCCAAGAAAGGTTTCAAAAGAAAAGAACTGTGAGATTAAAAAAAGAGGAAATGGAGAAGGCAGATGAAGAGCAATAAAAGAAAGCAGGAAGGATGAAGAACTATAGAATAGGTGACTGTGTAAAGCAAATGTTTTGTTATTGCACCTTCCTGCCCAGCTGCTATCAGGTAGGTGAGGTTGTGGCTCCTGATCCTGGGGGGCAAGTTAGGGCTCCAAGGGCATTTCTGATTGGCTGCCAGAGTGCTGCATGGTGCCTTTGACCTCAAGGCGAAACCCTCGGCTGGGTGTGTCTGGAAAAGAAGCCTGGTGGAGATGCTGGGGTTTATATTAGGGCTGGTAGTGGTGGGAAAATAAGGATTCCCTTGCAGGTGTGGTCTCTCTGGGTTGAGAAGCCAGATTCTATACACAAAGACACACAAAAGTCATTAAGAAGACAAGGGTAATCGCTCAAATCATAAAAGAGTGTTCACTGACAAAATTATTCATCATAAAACCACTTGAAAAAGTAGGTTATCTCATTTTTCCTCCCCTCAGTATCTTTATAAGTTCTGAGGATTACAGACAAGAGAACAAATTGGATGTGAAAGGTGAATTCAGCAGTGAAAGAACATAATGGATAATCACCAAGAGGATTTTTATGTTAAAGAATGCCAAAACATTGTGTTGTCCCGCATCGATCTCTCGATTTTATTCACTGAAACTTGCAGTGAGTCATTAGAAGAAAAACTTGGCGAAGCTGAAATGTCTCAGCCACATTTATGTTTTTAGTTATTGGTTTCCCTGAAGAGGTCAGAGACTCACAGAGAAAGTTATAGGGAAGTTCCCTACATTTGTAATTGCATGTAATAGATCTTATTGCGAATGATTCATTTAGTAAATTTTTTTTGACCTTGTAATCAAAATGTCATAATTTGATCTTCCGGTGAAATGTCAGACTTCTCTCTGTAGATGTATGCTGGACTTTTACAATCATTTCGTCCACTTAAAGGGATAGTTCACCCAAAAATGAAAATTCTGTCATTAATTACTCACCCTCATGTCGTTTCAAACCCGTAAGACCTTCATTCATCTTCGGAACACAAATTAAGAT